CACTTGGTATACAAAACAACATTCTTAATGTGTTCTTGGTTATGCTTGTTAGTTTTCCGTTACCGTTGTTTTCTGATACTGAACGGCACCCGTTTTTGACATATTTGCCCTAATGTTATCATGAGGTTATACATGTAGCGTGTGCACGAGTGCAAACTTGAATCAGTGGAATAAAACGTTAGCATTAGCATGTTATTGTCATGTAGACTTCCTCACATGACTGGAAGTATAATAATGTGTCCTTACTTAAGAATGCATTATCAGTTACATTTACACAGATGTTTCAGAACAGGGAGGGGGAAAACCACATATATACACAAACATCATACGCAAAAAGTCATTCAAATGGACAGCGCTTTTTTGTGTATAAAAAACATTTTGGACAAAGTGTAGCTTCATTACAGGTTGATAAAAAAACAACATGTCAGATAGCTTTGACGACCATTATGCCAGACAAGTGCTGGTTCGTTCATAGGCCTAGCAACTGCGTTATTTCAACATCGATAAGAATTTCACCAGCTGTGATCAGCACAGCGTGAGTTCATTCATAGCGATACAGATCTTTGTTTATCAATGTTCAGTGATATGACTAAGTCAGTTAACGAGAACACAGGAGTGGAAGCCAATGAGTTCCATTTCATGCGCTCTCTGTCCATCATGATCATGTTGTTACAGTATTATCATTCTGTTATCATTACTCTACCTACTCTACCTACTCTACCTACTCTACCTATCCCACTCGTGTACAGCTATTGTTACTGTGACTCCTCTACTGTTAATCCTCCACCTACTATGTATATTCTGTTCCATGTTCTTCATTCACTCTTGCTTGACAACGGTATAAGGATTTATACCGAAATGTCGGCTTTACAGTAATTAAAGAAGTCTTTTATCCAGAAATTGCGTCTTCTTTGTAAATTATGACTAAAACAAGAATTGCAGTTAGATCCGCTCTCTGTCATAGATCTCCTTAAACCAAGAGATGCAATAGCGAAGGCCAAACTAACTCTATTTCTGAGAGATGGACAGCTACTCGAACGAATATGAACATAGCAGCCAAAGATAAAAATAAAATTATATCAATATACTAAAAAATAGAAATCAAATCAATACAAAAACAGACATTCTATGAAAACCAAAACTCGCAAAACTTGTGTACCCTGCTCACACACTTAAGTCCCAAAGAGGGACAGGTCAGCCGAAATTGCTGAGGCAGAAGGCGACCTTTTAACCACTTAAAGCAAAAACAATCTTCATTCAGTCTTGCTTGACAACGACATAAGAATCTATACCGAAACGTCGCCTTTACAGTAATTAAAGAAGTTGTCCATAAATTGTCTCCACTTTCTAATATTGCAGCCATATAACGTCGAGAAAAGGGTACGCATTATAACATATATGTCGACAAAGGACAGTACAACAGTAAGATACATAACAGATTTAAAATAAAAAAAGGTAAAAAAATAATAACACGTCAATATACAATAGATTACGTCCAATTAGAAAACAGGTTATAGACCATCGGTAACCAAAGTGAGACCACCTATCTGGTGATCAGGGGGGGCGGTCGGGTAGCCTAGTGGTTAAAGCGTTTGCAAGTCACGCCGAAGACCCGGGTTCGATTCCCGACATGAGTACAATGTGTGATGCCCATTTCTGGTGTCCCCCTGCCTTGATATTGCTGGAATATTGCTAAAAGCGGCGTAAAACCATACTCACTCACTCACCCTGGGGATCATAAGGGCCATACAGTATCTCTGGTTCCTGCATGATTCCCCTGCAGGATTTATGCCACACTCTGGTCACCAGTGGTTGTTTGTAGTGCTAGCCGATATTAGAAACTAAATAACAAGAGAATAAAACAACACTCGTTGATATTACATTCTTTTATTTAGATCGGACTCACATGACACTAGAGGGGAAACCTTGTTTTACACAACTAAAACCTCAGCATCCAGCATCCACCCCCGCCCCCCATCCCATAATCTCATTATTATTATTATTATCATCATTATTATTATTATTATTATTATTATTATTATTATTAATTTTTTTTACAGATTAAATTTTTTAAAATGCAGCAAAGAGCGTTTGGGTGATCCTGGCACAGTCAGGCTGGTTAGGCTCATCATCAGCTCAGGGCCCCTGCCCCCTCTACACGCAGCCCAGACAGCGAATGGGACTTCTCCCAGGAAGCGCTGCCTAGTCAAACCCAACCGGAACGTTTCGGAGAATGTGAAGACTCTCCAACACTGCAGCCTTCTGTATTACCCAGATTATCAGAAGGGCTGTATTCCTGATAGCAAACCCGTGTACTCCAATGTCAGTCAACAGGTACCAAACCAAAGGCATCGAGAACAATGGGGAGTCGGACAACTTGGTACTTGGGATGCAAGCGTGACATTTCGAAAGCGTATATTTGCCATGTTTTTCCTCAATCTTGTCAATCACATTAGTCTCAAAGGGGACAGAAAATTCAATTATATAAATGATTTCATTAGATTTAGGACAAGATCCGGTTTGTTGACCTGGATACGTCTAAGGCTATAAACGGGCCTATTCCAAAGAATTTTGTATTTATCATTTTCCATGACGCCCTCTACATATTCCGGGTCGTACCATGGGTGGACCTCTGTGTCAAAACCACAAGCAAGTCGAAGACGTAATAAAAAAATAATGATCGAGCGACACCATCATGTCGTTTAAGATACTGTGTTTGTGTCAAAGCTGGGCATCCACTGACAATGTGTTGGACAGTCTCATTAAATTCATTACATAATCTACATTTTCATATTTACATTTTGATGAAAAATCACACATTGACGGTTTCGAGTGGGAAGTGACTGATCCTGAGCAGCGAACAGAGAGCCTTCAGTTTCACTTTTTAGGCCAGACGACTTCATCCAAGCGAAGGACTCTGCAGGATTGCTGATCCTCTCAACACACAGCAACTTGTTTGTTTGCTTGTTGTTTAACACCGCACTCAGCAATATTCCACCTCTTTAACGTTGGTCTGTTGTACTCGAGTCTGAACCAGACAATCCAGTGATTGACATCATGAGCATCGATACACGCAATTGGGATACGATGACATGTATCAACCAAGTCAGCGAGCCTAACCACCCGCTCCCGTTAGTCGCCTGTTACGACAAGCATAGTCGCCTCTTACGGCAAGCATGGGTTGCTGAAGACCTATTCTACCCCGGATCTTCTAACACGGGTTTAGGTTAAGATGTATAAATTGAAAAACATGAAAACTAAAGAAAGCAATATAAATATGAAACGTTTCTGTGTTCCAAATGTTAGGTTGCTGAAGACCTATTCTACCCCGGAGATTGTAACATGATAAGGTTACCAAGTATCGACATACGTGAGGTTCATTGTTACATGTCACAGCGTGACTGACTTGGATTCAACGCCGCTATTTCGGCATTACTGCCTGCAGCTTAATTACGCAGGTGAAACGCAGGAGCACGTACAGGGATCTCAAGATAGTGAGGTGAAATTGGGTTTAACGCCGCGTCAAAGATTATTGCACTTATATAACGTGTGTGTGTGTGCGCGCGCGCGCGCGCGTGTGTGTGTGTGTGCGCGCACGCGCGCGCGTGTGTGTGTGCGTGCGTGCGTGTGTGTGCGTGCGTGCGTGCGCGTGTGTGAGTGTGTGTGCGTGTGTGTGTGTGTGTGTCCTTGTACTAGATAAGGGTAACTGACTACGTGTATACTGTTTGACCACTTGACCATCCGTTCTCTAAACCTGTTATTGAAACCACGAAACACTCACGGATTTATTGTTAAAATGTTTTGTAAAAACTTAAATTTGATGATCAGCGAAAACAATTAAGGATCCCAGCTGCGACGTTAGATAACGGAATCAGCGTCATTTGATATTAACTGACGGCAAAAGAAATTTTGACTTGAAGAACGGATTTGTCTGAACAAATATTTGCCAAACATTATCAAGACGTTACTAGGTTGAAAACAGTCGCCGAAACACGGTAAACTGAAGGTCCAAAACGCGACGGTGATACCAATATCAAATAATTTACATCACCATCGAATAACCATTTCATGCTTGTTTCATTTTAGCCACCATGAAGCATGGGTGGATTCTTTCTTTTGCTCGGTAGTGTATGTCTCAAGGGACGACCAGGTACTCTCACACCAATCAGTTGTTCGAAGATCGGTGAGCTTAATACCCTTTTGATGAACACCGGATTTTACGAAGTCGGATAAAGCGACATACCAGCAAAAACCAGGGCCCAGTTCAACAGAGTGATGTTAGGGTACCCTTCCATTAATTACACACGCCATTTGTCATATCTTTTTTTGACAACTGGGACATTTGAAGCATCGACAACTGATGGGAGGGAACGGATGTTAACTACGGTTATCGTAAGATGGATGAATCGAACTAATTTTTATTCCGAGCAATGGTTGATTGGTTGGTCTGTTGTTTAACGCCGCACTCAGCAATATTCCAGTTATATGACGGCGGTCTGTAAATAATCGTGTCAAGACCAGACAATCCAGTGATTGATATCATGAGCATCGACCCAGGCAATTGGGATCGATGACATGCTTCAACCAAGTCAGCGAGGCTGACAACCCGATCCCGTTAGTCGCCTTTTACGACAAGCATAGTCGCCTTTTACGGCAAGCATGGATTGCTGAAGACCTATTCTACCCCGGATCTTCAGGGGTCCCGAGCAATGGTGACAAATGTTCTTGTTCTTGTGAATATCTATTTTCGGATATTACGAACATATTTTCAAGTGTCCTTTGAGTTCGGTATATCCGAATTTGGTATATTCTGGGATGAATTTTAGGTAATTGATTAAATATCTTCATACATACCAACTAACCAGCCAACCAACTAACTAGCCAACCAACCAAACAACCATCCAGCCAACCAACCCAACCAACCCAACCAACCAGGGCGGGACCATTCGGGACAATATGAAAATAATGATGGAGTGAAATATACTCATCAAATGGCATACCTGGATGTTGGGGCTCAGTGCAGGGACGTACACGTCTCCCGTGGACGGCATCAGAGAGGCTCCAGGACCGACGTCTTCCGAGTTCAGTTGACAAAACCTTGTCTTCATGTTCCAATTTACAGACAAACATTTCGGCGAGTACAGACAAACTCTGTGACAATGTTCGAGGGTTTGCACTTTTAACAAGTCATAGCCATGACCCGGGAGAATGTTGTCATATGAACCACCCACATTCAGGATAGTGGTGGGGTTGATGCCGTTACAGATGACGACGATACACAGGAACAGAATCACGCGGGATGTTGTCAGCTCCATGGCGGACAGCCAACTCAGGCGTCGGAACCTTTCAAATACACGTTCACGTACTCTCTTTAGTCGACTTCGAAACAATGACCGTCTTAAAGTGGCCAAACGCTTCGTCATTTAGGTTACGCGCGTGAACGGATAAACGTTTGCGACGCTCCCAATGGACATTTCCAGGTCTCCGATCATTTCTCAAAAGAACTAATATGTACAGTCACGGAATAACACATGAAATATTTAAGACCTCTCTTTATTTGAAGTAAAAGCGATGTGAGAGGTCGCATGGTCCAGAAATACATCTCTGTTCACCATCACAGATTCTAAACAAACATTTCATGATTGGGGGATCGGTTCCAAGGATGAGTGATCATCTTCCTTCAGTGTCAGAACGCTATAACTAGAGCTGTGCCAATCAGGTTGCTTACAGTGGAGTTATAACTCAGTAAGTGAAAGTCTCAAAGTAAAGATGTCGGCTTATGATGTTTCTGATATTTAAAGGGGGACTCACAGTAAAGTTGCCACCTTCTGATGTTTCTGATATTTTAAAGGGGGAGTCAAAGTAAACAGCTTCTGATGTTTCTGATATTTTAAAGGGGGAGTCAAAGTAAACAGTTTCTGATGTTTCTGATATTTTAAAGGGGAGTCAAAGTAAACAGTTTCTGATGTTTCTGATATTTTAAAGGGGGAGTCAAAGTAAACAGTTTCTGATGTTTCTGATATTTTAAAGGGGGAGTCAAAGTAAACAGTTTCTGATGTTTCTGATATTTTAAAGGGGAGTCAAAGTGAAGATGGCAGCTTCTGATATTTCTGATATTTTAAAGGGGAGTCAAAGTAAAGATGGCAGCTTCTGATATTTCTGATATTTTAAAGGGGGAGTCAAAGTAAACAGCTTCTGATGTTTCTGATATTTTAAAGGGGGAGTCAAAGTAAAGATGGCAACATTCTGATGTTTCTGATATTTTAAAGGGGAGTCAAAGTGAAGATGGCAGCTTCTGATATTTCTGATATTTTAAAGGGGAGTCAAAGTAAAGATGGCAGCTTCTGATATTTCTGATATTTTAAAGGGGGAGTCAAAGTAAACAGCTTCTGATGTTTCTGATATTTTAAAGGGGGAGTCAAAGTAAAGATGGCAACATTCTGATGTTTCTGATATTTTAAAGGGGGAGTCAAAGTAAACAGCTTCTGATGTTTCTGATATTTTAAAGGGGGAGTCAAAGTAAACAGTTTCTGATGTTTCTGATATTTTAAAGGGGGAGTCAAAGTAAACAGTTTCTGATGTTTCTGATATTTTAAAGGGGAGTCAAAGTAAAGATGGCAGCTTCTGATATTTCTGATATTTTAAAGGGGAGTCAAAGTAAAGATGGCAGCTTCTGATATTTCTGATATTTTAAAGGGGGAGTCAAAGTAAACAGCTTCTGATGTTTCTGATATTTTAAAGGGGGAGTCAAAGTAAAGATGGCAACATTCTGATGTTTCTGATATTTTAAAGGGGAGTCAAAGTGAAGATGGCAGCTTCTGATATTTCTGATATTTTAAAGGGGAGTCAAAGTAAAGATGGCAGCTTCTGATATTTCTGATATTTTAAAGGGGGAGTCAAAGTAAACAGCTTCTGATGTTTCTGATATTTTAAAGGGGGAGTCAAAGTAAACAGTTTCTGATGTTTCTGATATTTTAAAGGGTGGGTCAAAGTAAACAGTTTCTGATGTTTCTGATATTTTAAAGGGGGAGTCAAAGTAAACAGTTTCTGATATTTCTGATATTTTAAAGGGGAGTCAAAGTGAAGATGGCAGCTTCTGATATTTCTGATATTTTAAAGGGGAGTCAAAGTGAAGATGGCAGCTTCTGATATTTCTGATATTTTAAAGGGGAGTCAAAGTAAAGATGGCAGCTTCTGATATTTCTGATATTTTAAAGGGGAGTCAAAGTAAACAGCTTCTGATGTTTCTGATATTTTAAAGGGGGGGGGGGGGTCAAAGTAAAGATGGCAGCTTCTGATATTTCTGTTACTTTAAAGGGGGAGTCAAAGTAAAGATGGCAGCTTCTGATGTTTCTGATACTTTAAAGAGGGACTCAAAGTAAAGATGGCAGCTTCTGATGTTTCTGATATTTCAAAGAGGGACTCAAAGTAAAGATGGCAGCTTCTGGTGTTTCTGATATTTAAAGGGGGCGTCAAAGTAAAGATGGCAGCTTCTGATGTTTCTGATACTTTAAAGAGGGACTCAAAGTGAAGATTGCAGCTTCTGATGTTTCTGATATTTTAATAAAAAATACACATTGCCGTCCGCGTTTTTGAATGACAGAGCTGGGAACATGTTGTTACGAGAAAGCTCTGCTACACGTGCGAAATTGGTTTAATCAAATTCTGCTCATAGTTATATTTAAAGGTTGCATTAAATGCGGTGTAAAATTAGTTTGATGTACTTATTATATGTAATTACTTTTATGACTGTCATATATATATTTCTCCTTATCCCTGAACCGCAATTGATAATCAAAATAATTATAGGTAGCACAAGAGTAGGGCATGTTTTTCCAAATCCAACAAAACCGACGTCGTCCTGGGTCGATATTGTCTTTTGTTTTGGTTCATAAACACAAGTATCGAGTTTTTGAAAATGGCATTTCCTTTTACAATGAAACGAACCACTTGCATGTGCCGTGTATTGAATACACGACTTGTCGTCCATTGATCATCATGGGGAAAGTAATTAACACGAGAACCCACGAGCTTATTGGTATCGATGACATGTCAATCCATTGTCAATCCATTGTGAATACATTGTGAATACATAAGGAATAATGTGCATCGAGAAAACGTAGATTACCAATCAAGTTCATCACTGAGAAAGGATTTGTGTTCCCAGTATTATGATTAAAGTAATCAGCTGTCGATATAAATAGACCCATTCCCCACCCACCCTCAACAAAATTAACAGGACTATCCAACGTTTCACGAACTAAACTAGTGGGAAAAACAAACGCTACCCACATTTACATGACAAACTTTCAATAGAACGCGCCATGATATATAATTAAAGTGTGATGTTTCAACCAACGCAACTGTTGATTCGATTGCTCGAATGCATTAGAAATGACTTTCAACGATAAGAAATGTAGTTCACGTTCTCCATTGTTCTCGAAATCAGTGATGCTGGTGTCGTGTTTGTTCCGGAATAAGAGGTGGTCGTCTCCAAAGCAAATAGTAAATAATTCAGTAAATAGTTCACCCAATTAGATGTGAGTGGGTGAGTATGGTTTAACGCCGCTATTAGCAATATTCAAACAATATCACGGCGGGGGACACCAGAAATGGGCTTCACAATTTGTACCCATGTGGAGAATTCGACCCGGGTCTTCGGCGTGACGACCGAACGCTTTAACCACTAGGCCCCCTTCCCCCAAGAAGATGTGTATTATATAGCTTACATGAGCGCACACTTTGAAGCACATCACAGTTAATTTTCATTACTTTTTCTTACAATATCCATACCCAAATCTGCAGTCAAACCGGCAAGGTGTGTGCATTCAGTGTGTCCGTCATGGGTGATGGGACTTTAAGAGCGAATTTGAATGGATTCATTTATTTGAGACGAATCCTTTCAAGTGTAACTGAAATACATGATAAGCAAATTGTTATTCAATAATTAAAACGGTATCTTTTGAAACGCGGAAGGTATTGTAAGCTGATTTGTTTTTAAGTCGATTCGTGTCCCGACAATGGCACCAGTATCATTTATGTGGACAAAGGAGAGTCTATTGCAATTCTTGTGAATTCTCAATCTTTGACATTAGGGCTGGGACGGGTTGGTAAAATGTGTTAAAACACACTTTACCAGAGCTACAGTCAAATGTTTCCCAATCGGACAGAATGAGAATAGAGGATCTTGGTATGCTCCGGTACAAGCGTGGTGTATGAAGACAAGTTATACATGCACATACCATATGGTAACTGTTTTTCACTATTCATATTCTAATTTCTAACTACACGTAGATTATTTAATTGTTGTCTCTTTTATTGTTTGCATTGTACAAAGGAGGATTTTGTCTGTCATCTTGCAGATTTAGTCTCACAATGTGTTCATTCATGTTTCCCTACCTCTTGAGACCTACAGCTTATTTATTTATGACAATGGGCCTTACAGACCTGGGTGCCGTTGTACAAAGCGATCTTATCGCTTAGGGGATTGTAACTCCCACACCTTAACATAGACTTACGACAGTCGTAGCGCTAAGGTTGTTTTGTGCAATGGTAACCTGTCTGTGTTTCCGCGTGCTGTTACTGTCGTGTGTGAGATCAAAATGTCCCACGTGTTTCCCTGGAGGGCTAAATTTGAATATGACCAGAAACCATCTGAATATAACGAATAATGGCTGTCCTTTATCGTGTTGTGCATGGTATGACGTAAAAACGGACAGACGTGACACGTTGACTGTGTATATATAGTCGTCACGCCCAATACCCGGCTTGGGTCCGACTCGGGTACAATGTGTGAAGTCCATTTCTGGACTCCCCCGCCGTGATATTACTGCAATATAACTAAAAGCGGCGTAAAACCATACTCACTCTATCTATCTATATACAGTGGTAGTATTTGTAGTTATTCTAGTTGTAGCACTAGTAGTCTAGTAGTAGTTTGTAGCAGTAGTCGTAGTAGTAGTAGTAGTAGTAGTAAAACTTTTGCGAAGCTACGCCGATGACTACGCAGAGGTTTTGGATCCGTTTGAATGAGCGAGTTTGTTTGAGTGAGCGGGTGTGTTTGAGTGGTTTGAGTAAGCTGCTGTGAGTGAAGGACGGGATGTGGTTGTGTGTATATAGGATGCTTGTACGGGGGCTATTATGGATGTTATTTTCAAAAGTACTATTAAATGTGTTGTGTACATATATAAAATATTGTTTTTATGAGTTTTTTAGTGTCCCGTGGGCCATTTTGGCGGGCCGCTGAATTGCACTGATACGTACAAAGCACAAACATCAATTAGACTGATAAACTCATAAATCTTTAAATCCATTGCCTAATAAATGCATGTACATTCATACACCTATGGATAGGTATCTCGTACCTAAATGGTTTTGGAATGTCACATGTTCAGCTATTGGCCACAACTGCAAGTTTTTATAT